GCGTCGGTGCGCGCCCGGGATCCGAACCCAGGCCGCTAGCAGTGGAGCGCGCGCACTTAACCGCTAAGCCACGGGGCCGGCCCTATTTATTTTTTTTTTGTGAGGAAGATCAGCCCTGAGCTAACATCCATGCTAATCCTCCTATTTTTGCTGAGGAAGACTGGCTCTGAGCTAACATCTATTGCCAATCCTCCTCCTTTTTTTCCCCAAAGCCTCAGTAGACAGTTGTATGTCATAGTTGCACATCCCTTCTAGTTGCTGTATGTGGGATGCGGCCTCAGCATGGCCGGAGAAGTGGTGCGTCGGTGCGCGCCCAGGATCCAAACCCTGGGCTGCCAGTAGCAGAGCGCGCGCACTTAACCGCTAAGCCACAGGGCCAGCCCAAGTAACACACTTTAAATATAAAGACACAAATAAGTTAAAAGCAAAATGGTGGAAAAAGATATACCATGCTGACAATATCAAATATCAAAGTAAATCTCAAGGCAAACAATATTACCAGGCATAAAAAGGTCATGTCTCAATGATAAAGGGGTCAATTGACTAAGAGGACATAACAATGCTAAATATTTATGTACCTAATAACAGAGCTTAAAAAAATATGAAGTAAAAACTGATAGAATTGCAAGGAGAAATAAACAAATCCACATAATAATGGCCCAAAATTTCAATGCCCCATCACAGTAATTGATAAAACAAGCAGACAGAAAATCAATAAGGATATGAAACCCTTGAAAGACAATAATAAACAACTTCACCTAACTGATATCTGTGGTATACAGAACAATGGCCCTCAGTGAGTTGTAATCTTTGTGCTGGTGGAGGGTCTTATAAAAAGAGCAGTATCTCTGAAGCACAATAAAACGAAGTATGCCTGTACACCTCAATAAAAAATAAATACCAAAACTACTTGGCAAGAACTGGGCCCATTTCTTTGCTAAGATGATTAAGTCGTGGAATAGGAAGTAAGTAGGGGGAAAAAGTCTAAGGTACCTGATTAAAGGAAGGCTCAAGGTTGATTATACCCGGTGGAACAATCATTACCTTCTTGTTGAAATTCTCAGTTATGATTTTTCCTAAAACAGTATCATGTCGCTTTCCTCCTCAAAAATCATTAATGGTTCACAAATGGCCTGCAGAATAAAGCCTTCGACTTCTCATCTAGACACTCAAGGCCTTTCATATTCCAACCTTATTCAACTATTTGTTTACCACTTGCCAAAACAAACAATGTCTTCCAAATTTTTCTGAATCTTATGTAACACCTGCTAATTGTTACTTGTGAACCCCTGCTCATAATCTTTTCCATACCTGGAATCCTCATACCTCCCACCTTACTTGTTCAAATATTCAAATACCACCTATTCTTTGAGAGTTAGTGCAAATCTCACATCCTCCATGAAACTCTCCTAATCCTTCCAGACCACACACATTTTTTTCATTCTCTATTTTCCACGGTACTCATTTCACCTTTCCTATATTTATCTGTTTTGTCTTTTAGCAGTCATTATTCAAGTAAAGGATCCAGTTTTGTACTTCTTTTGCTCTCTCATCACTGGAGGATGGCAAGATACTAAGCAAGAGGTAAGTAGTGAGTTAATTAAGCTGGAGAGGCAGAGCTAGGAAGAAGGCCACTGGGCAGATGGGAGCCCAGAATGAATTGCCAACACTGATTTTTGGATAAACAGACCCCAAAGAAAAGAATACACACAGTCCCACTCTAAGGACTGAAATGCACTTCAGGAAATCCCAACTTACCTGAAAACTGGCTGATGGGAGTAGAGTAGGTCTTCCTTGGAGAACAGTAGACTCTGGAGAGGATAGATCTAGGGGAGGAAGAAGAAACCACAATGAATCATGCCCAACTTAGCTGGTCCCAGCAATCAATAAAATCCACTTATTTTTTCAAGACCTAAAATCTAAAACTCCTAGAAGAAAGCATAAGAAAAAAACTCCTTGACATTGGTCTTGGGAATAATTTTTTCAATATTACACCAAAAGCAAAAATCAACAAATGGGACTACATCAAATAGAAGCTTTTGCAGAGCAAAAGAAGCCAACAAAATGAAAAGACAAGCTATGGAACGGGAGAAAATATCTGAAAATCATATATCTGATAAGGGGTTAACATCAAAAATATACAAGGAACTCATACAACTCAACGGCACAAAAAAAAAATAATCCAATTAAAAAATGGGCAGAGGACTTGAATAGATATTTTTCCAAAGAAGACATACAAATGGCCAACAGGCACACGAAAAAGTGCTCAACATCACTAATCATCAGGGAAATGCAAATCAAAACCACAATGAGATATCACCTCACACCTGTCAGAATGAATATTATCAGAAAGACAAGAGATAAGCGTTAGTGAGGATGTGGAAAAAAGGGAACCTTTGTGCACTGCTGGTGGGAATGTAAATTGGTATAGCCACTACGGAAATATATATATACTACATTTTCTTTATCCATTCACCCACTGATGGACACTTTGGTTGCTTCCATTCTTGGCTATTGTAAATAATGCAGCAATGAACACAGGGGTACAGATATCTCTCTAAGATAATGCTTTCATTTCCTTTAGATACATACCCAGAAAAAAGGGCTTGCTGAATAATATGGCAGTTTTTTAATGTCTTGAGGAGCCTCCATACTGTTTTCCATTGTGGGTATACCAATTTACATTCCCACCAACAGTGAGAACATGTGTGTGAATATATAAAATGTGTGTGTATATATATACATATACACACAATATGCTATATATATACACATACACACACACACAATGGAATATAAATAGCCATAAAATAGAAGGAAATCCTGCCATTTGTGACAACGTGGACCTTGAGGGCATTGTGCCAAGGGAAACCTAAAAAAGCTAAACAAATAAAACAAAGAGTAGAATGGTGGTTTCCAGGGGGTGGGGAGTGGGGAAATAGGGAGATGTTGGTCAAAGGGTACAAATTTCCAGTTTATAAGATAAAGAAGTTCTGGGGATCTAATGTACAGAGTAAATCTTAAATGTTCTTACCACACACACACGCACACACACACACAAAGACAAATATGTAAAGTGATAGATGGATTAACTAACCTTATTGTGGTAATCATTTCACAATATGTAGGTGTATCAAATCATGTTGGACAACTTAAACTTACAGAATATTATGAATCAATTGATCTCAAGGTGTAAAAAAATTTTTCTCAGCAATGTTTTGTAGCTTTCAGTGTACAGAGCCTGCACATTTTTGTTAGATATATTCCTGTTTCATATTTTAGATGCTATTATAAGTGGAGTTATTATTTTTATTACAATTTCCAATTGTTCATTGGTAATATAATGAAAGACAGTTGATTTTTTAAAATTAAGCTTTTTGTTTTGAGATAATTGTAGATACACATGCAGTTGTAAGAAATAAAACAGGTTCTTTGTACTCTTTAAAAAAAAGGGGGGGTGGGCCGGCCTGGTGGCACAGTGATTAAGTTGAGCATGCTCCAATTCAGCAGTGTGGGGTCGGCAGGTTCGGATCCCAGGTGCAGACCCACACCACTCATCAAACCATACTGTGGTGGCAACCCACATACAAAGTAGAGGAAGATGGGCACAGATGTTAGCTCGAGGTCACTCTAGCTCAAGCAAAAAGAGGATTGGCAACAGGTGTTAGCTCAGGGCCAAACTTCCTCACCAAAAAAAAAAAAAAAAATTGAGGACAAATACAAAGTATAACTCAAACCCAAATAATAATATAATGTTAAGACTTCTAATGATATTAAACAAATGTAAGAAAAAGGACTGTATGATAATAGTTAGGATAAATCAAATCTGACTGCATAGCCATACCTAAAGAATGTAAAGACAACAACAATGCAGAGGGAAGTCTATACTGACATGTCACAGGGCTCTGTCCTTACCCTGACCTGTTCAATGACATGTAGGAAGAAACAGAAGAATACTAATTAAATACGCTAGTGACAGAAAGTTGGAAAGGACAACTAAAACACTGAATAACTAAGATTCTTAATTATTCTGACAAGCTGGAACACTTGGCCAAAAAATTAAACAATCATAAATGTGAAGTCCTGACATTAAGGATAAAAAACAATTCTATTATACAAGGATGACATAGATCTAGTTCACTGAAGTTTATGTAAAAAAGATCTCAAGTTTACAGTATAATATTGCTTATTTTTTTTAAAGCTAATACAATCTGATACTACACAGTAGAAGTATAATCCAAATGAAAAGAAGCAGTACATTATACTTTTAGGTATTTTTCAAACTATATCTAAAGAACTATGTTTCCTTTTAGGCAATGCAGTTTAAGAAGCATGCTGTCATGCAGTCGAGTTTTCAAAGAAGAGGTCTAGACATAGCACATGAAGACCCATCAAAGGTTCTGAGGCTATTCTGCTTAGAAAAGAATTTGTGAGTAGGAGTTGTAACAGCTGAATTCACATATCTGAAGGGAAGTAATGTGAAATGGAGAGCTGTCTCTTGCTTTTGGGGACTAAGAACTAAGATCAACACAGAAGTTACAGAAGCAGACACTTCTGCCTAATATAAGGAACTAAAAAAAGAAAGAGCCAACAAGGGAATAGTCTGCACCCAAAATGGAGAGTTTAACGCCACACTTGTTCAAGCACAGGCTTAACAGATGGCCATCTGCCAGGGATATTTCAAAACTGATTCCTGCATTGAAGGGAAGATTACCAAGATTTTTCTGACTGCAAGATTATCATTCTAATATTTAAGAAACAGAAGTCATGTGAGGATCACAGACATTATGAATCATTGTTCATTTTCATTCCCCAATCTCAAAGCCAGGGAGAATTAACTCTTTCTCCAAGTCTCTCCCCATAATGTAAATGAATCTCGCCCTTAATGTAATTCAGTTTCTTTTCTGGATCCTTAAATATAAGGCTCCCTCGTTCCACCTCTTCCAGCTCTGTCAAGTATTTTATCTCCAAGTGATAACTGTTCTTTTGCCACCAACATCCCACTCTCCCCCGAGGCGTCCCCATTACCTTCCATCTCAGCTCATCCCGTTCCTCTGGAACCTGGACATCAGAGTTTCCCAAGCAGCCTATCTCCAGCTGGGTCCTTGGTCTAGGGCTCAGATGTCCAGCAAGGAGTCTGAGCCCTTACACACGCTGAGATTGGCTGCCCAAAAGACACAAGATGGGGTCAGCAGCGTCCGTCACACGATCACATCTCAGAATTTTGCAGAGTGCCCAAGAAGTCCTTGGAAAAGGGAAGTGCCTAGAGAAAGCACTAAACAGGCATGTGGCACTCTCGCTGAAAAAAAAAGAGTGGAGATCGAGTACGCAGGTTCAGCCTCAGATTCCAAAAACCCTTGGTGCCTACCCTAGAATCTGCCCAGAGGCGCCCACAGACCCGGCCCGTTACCTCCGTGCACACTCGCGGGCTCACACCCCCGCGGGCTCACGAAGACACACCTGTTGCGGAGCGGAAAAGCTGGAAGGCGGACAAGCAGGGCGGGGCCCGGCTCCAGTCCTTCCTCCTAGACCGGAACAAAAGAACAAAGCCCTCCAAGGGATCAGCTCGCAACCGCCCCGCACTGGAGGAGGCGAGGGGCGCCCCCTTCGAGGACTCCCCAGCTCCCTCTCGGAGAGGCCGCCTCAAGCAAAGAGAAGGGTGACGTCACGCGGCCGGAGGGCTGGCGGTTGCCATGGTGATACCTGGGCTTCCCTTGCTCTGCAACAATCCACACACTCTGATCTCGGGTCCGGCAGCGCTGGGACAATCAACAAACCTAGCGAAGGGAGCCAAAGCGACTGGACTTCCCCAGCACCAACGTCTTTTCACGCCTACAGCCGGCTTCAACGGCCACTTCCGGTCGTGCCAAGAGAACCCCGCCCCTGCTCGCCGGCTGCGTTAGACTGTGCCAGGCTGACACGCAGGACTACGATTCCCAGAATGCTCCACGACGCTGAACTCCATTTCCCAGAGGCCTCAGCCGACGTGCAAGATCCCGTTTCGCGGGGCCGAGCGCTCAACGCCGCAGTGTTTGTTCCTAAATGTCTCAGGTAGAGGTATGCATTAGAGTGGTGACGTTTAAGCTTGTGTGACCGGACTGATTGTAAGAAATACACATTTACACATATATGTAATTTAAAAACCCAAACAAGCATTTAACGATGCATTCCTTACGTTTATTACCAGTGTTGCATTCTATTTAGCGTACTATTCCTTTGTCGTTTTAAAAATTCCGGTTGTAACCTATTATATTGCTTTTATGACTCTCAGATGGGTTGCCACGAACATTTTAAACCAGGACGTGGTGTTACCATGTTTTGCCCTACAGTCGTGCATCGTGTATGCCTACTTCAGCCAGCACGAAGCTGCGAATGGAGCCCAAGCCCACTCGGTCAGTGGGTGCTTGGCGGGAAAAAAATCCAACAGAAATCGGTAGTTTTTATTATCTTTAAATGTGTGGCCCACGCACTTTACTATGCTTCTGTGCGTCTCCAGCATTTGTATAGAGGGGCTAAGGTCAAGTCACTCAGCCTGTTGGCCGACAAAACACTAAACTTGGAAATTCTGACACTGAGTGTATGAAAACAAAATTACAGTCAAAGAAAAGAGAACAATATCTAGAAGTCTCTAAGAGCAGATTTCAGAAAAGATCTACTGTAGGAACGAAAATTTCAGGAAACAATGTGGTATTCGCAGTAGATTGCAAGAAGACATGGCCTGAATGAAACAAGAAGGTGTGAGAGAACAGGCTGAAATAAAGATACTAGATGACAAGGCATGAAAATATATAGAAAAATATTTAAAATGCAGCAACATAATTAAAATCATACTGGAAAAGAACTGAATTGATGCTGTGGAAAAGAAAATCAGTTATGTGTAGGATATTCTTTTAAAGCTCCTCCATGATTCAAAAGAAAAAGATGAATGAAGTAGAAGAGAAGAAAGTGATAGATATAAAGGACAGAGGATGGAAAGCCAATATCTGGATAATTGGTCATCAGGAAGGAGAGATCATATGAAATTAGCTACCATTTAACACTTTCTATGTGTTCTAAGTGCTTTATATCTATTAACTTATTTAATCCTTAAAACAACCTATTGAAGTTATTTCCATGTGATTGTTTCTACTTTACAACAAAGGAAACTGAGGCACAAGTAACTTGAGTAACTTGCCCAAGGTCACATAGCCAGTAAATAGAGAAGCTAGGACTTGAATTTAGTAATTTGGTCCAAGCTCTCACTTTTAATCTCTAACACTAGACTCCCTAGTAAAGAGATGAACAATTTCCTGAGTTTAAAAAAGAATAAATCTCTTATTCATTGTTTGTGAAAGTGAAAAATGGTACAGCTACTTTGGAAAACAGTTTGGCAGTTTCTTACAAAACTAAACACACTCTTACGATATGATCCAGCAATTGCACTTCTTGATATTTCTGCAAATGAGCTGAAAACTTATATCCACACAAAAACCGAAACGCCAAGACTTGGAAGCAATCAAGATGCCCTTCAACAAATGAATGGATAAATAAACTGTGGTGCATCCATACAATGGAATATTATTCAGCAATGAAAAGAAATGAGCTATCAAGTTACCAAAAAACATAGAGGAACATTAAATGCATATTGCGGAGTGAAAGAAGTTAATGCGAAAAGGCTACTTATTGTATGATTCCAACTATATAACATTCTGGAAAAGGCAAAACTATGGAGACAGCAAAGATCAGTGGTTACTAGGAGTTGGGGGAGGGAAGGAGGAATGAATAGATGGAGCACAGGGGATTTTTAGGGCAGTGAAACTATTCTGTATGATACTGCAATGGCGGATACATGTCATTATACATTTGTCAAAACCCATAGAATGTACAACACACAGAGTGAACCTCTAATGTATATATAGTCTTTAGTTAATAGTAATTTATCAATATTAGCTCATCAATTGTAACAAAGGTACCACACTAACGCAAGATGTTAATAATATGGAAAACTGGGGTTGGGGGAGTGAGGGTATATGGGAACCCCGTACTTTCTACTCAGTTTTTCTGTAAACCTAAAACTGTTAAAAATAATGAAGTGTATTAATTAAAAATATATGATTGTTAAAGGTGCTTCTGGTAAGGTCTTAGAAGGAAATGAGGGACATGAAATTAGAAACTGGAAGAAAAGTGATTCTTGTTATAAAGTGGCAGAAACATGGCTGAATTGTGCTCTACAGTTGGGTGAAAAACAGAACGTGTAAACAATAAACTTGAACATTTAGCTGAGGAGATTTCCAAGCAAAGTGTGGAAGGTGTAGCCTGGTTCTCCTTGGGTTTATAGTAAAATGTATGAGGAAAGAGACAAATTGAGGAAAGAACTGTTAAGCAAAAAGGAACTATTTTTTTTGATGGTTTGGCAATTTTTCAGCCTCATGTTATACACATGAGGCTTTCAATACATATTGAGGAAGGGGATATATATACATGCAGAAAGAAATATATATACATATAATTCCTGTCCTCAGTGACTTGTCTATCTAGTTTTAGCGAGTAGGTCTACACATAAAAAAGTAAGCAACCATATGAAGCAGCATATAGATACTCCCTGAGTGTATAAGCAAAATATTAATTGAGTACCTACTGTATGCCAAGCACCAATAAGAAACACTATCTGCATAGAAGGTATAATTCAGTGAATAAAAGCCAAAGTTTGAGTTTTTACTTGGTGCCAAGCTCTAAACACTTTACTTGAATTAATTCATTTAATTAACTCAGGGTGCCAAATAGAGAACAGAAAAGGATGGAAATTCACATAAAATACATAGGTTGATTTGTTGACAAATATACAATCCTGCCTTAGTACTATGTGTGCCTAATGTGTCTTTTTGCACAATGGCTAAGATGTGAGTAATAATCAGATTTTTGTTTTTACTTGAAAAATATAAAATGAATATCTTAGTGTGTCATCAATAAATATTCATATATAACGCACATTTTAGTGGCAGAAAAAGTATTACATCCTACCAATGAAGGATTTTTTAAAAGAAAAATATTTACCGAAGTTTAACAGATACACAAAAAAGCGTATGAAAGTGAACTACTCAATATATTTACACAAAGCAAGCACACCCATGTACCCAGTATCCGATTTGAGAACCAAAATCATTACCAGAATCCCAGAAACTCTTCCTAAGGGTAATGGGAAACTCCTGGTCACCACTTCCCAAGGGTAATTACTATCCTGTTTTCTAATATTGTAGGTTAGTTTCACCTGTTTTTGAACTTTCGAAAGTTGGAATGCACTATAGTATGTATTCCTTTGTGTCTGGCTTTTTCCCACTCAATATTAGATTGTGAGATTTCATCCATGTGGTTGTGTGTACTTGTGTTTCTTCACTCTCTTTGTGCTGTGGTATTCCATTGTATGAAAAAAACACTCACATTTTGTCTTTTCCACCGTAGATGGACATTTGGTTTGTTTCCAGTTTAGGACTAAAATAATAACTAGTTTTTATTTCTTGCAACTCAGCCTGGACTCCCTTCCTTTACCAAGATCTATTCTGCCATTAAAAAAAAAAAAAAAATTTAGTCCAGTAAAACAAAGTTGCAGTTGTGTCCAGCCCTTGTTCATTGTTACTCTAAAACAAACAACCTGTTGATTAATAATTTTAGTTCAAATGCATCACTAATTGCTTTCTATTTGCATTTTTTTTAAGCACAAGAAGTTTTCGGTATTTTTTCGGTATCTAACTTCAATCAAAGCCAGAGTTCCAGATAACTTTGGCAAAAAGAAAAAAAATCATATATGCTTGATAAAAATCTGTACACCAAATAAAAGGATGTGATGTGTATAAATTATGGACAACAATCTTCTATAGCATAATTTATATCAAAACTGTTTCATGCCTATCTCTTCAGAGGAAGTTGTTTCCCATAAAACCATTGAATTTCTTAAGTTTCTCTCCCTTCTTCCTTAGCGTCACTCTCTTCTCTCCCTCTCCGTCTCCCTCTCTCTTCTCATCCCTCTTCCTCGTCTCTCTGTTTAGGCGACGTGACTTCTCCGTTTGCTATCGTTTTCCTTCTTTCTTAAATTACTATATGACACCAAGAAGTAGACAAAAGCCAGTAGCAGTAATCTATGCACCGAACCGGCTCAGGAAAACACGTGACCGCAGCTTTAGACTCTGAGATCC